GGCCAGAGTGTCAGCTGGTGTGCAGAGCTGAGCTAATTTATACCAACTGAGGATCTGGCCCAGATGTTTTTTTATTTTTTTTTTACCAGTGGCATCTTTGTTTTTGGAGGGGTAGGTTAGTCTTTTCACCATCATGAGAACGTGTGTGTTAAGTTTGTTTGCTTTATATATAGAAAAGTTCCTAGAAAGAGATTTCTTCCTGCATGTTCTGTTGGCTTCAAAGCACCAATGAGCAGAGCACAATAATTTTGGCATATTTGCTGTGCATAGCAAAACACTCGTGGGTTTGAACATAAAAACAGGAGCTGAGCTGGAATGTCACCTGGCTGGCTGTGCAGTTCTATTTTCTGACTACCTAAACAGACTTCTTCTTAAACTACAAGGAATAGATTTCCCTTGAGGGGATATTTTTTCTCCCTATATTTATTTAATGTGAACTGGCCAAGAGTTTCTCATCTTTAATTAGGGACTCTATACAATTACTTTTGTAATGTTTAAAATTTAGATAAGGTAAATAGTACACACCCCCACACCACGCCTATGTGCTGGTGATATCCATGGGATACATTGCAGAGCTATGTGATACATTGGATTTATAACATACCTTTAAACAACTCTGCCAGCTAACGAATCTCCTCCAGGGTTGCATCCGAAGTTCAAATCCTCTGAGAATCTTTGCATATCATGAGCAATGCAGCCATCACAAATTCATGCTGTTAAATCCTTTCTACCACACCCAATCATCGCATGCTTTCCCTATATGTCACTGCTTAGGACAAAAGATAGCCATGCTTTTCAAACGAAGGACTGTGAGTTCTACACTTTAAACTGCCAAATAAGCCGCACTGTTGTAACAGATGAGGTAAGCTGAGGCTGAGTAAGGGAAAAACGGACAGATTTGGAGGTTTATGATATGACAAAATGCTTCTTATAGCTACAACTTACTAAGGATCCAGTAAAGCACTTAAGCACATGCTAAACTTTAAGCATGTGAATTCTACTTAAGTCAATGAGACTACTTAAATGCTTAAAGTTAGAATGAGCTGAAGTGTTCTGATGGACTGGAGCCAAAAGGAAAACAAATGGGCTTGCCTTGAGAGTCTTTCTCTGTCTGGATTTGAGTTGTAATACGGGCTCACTGGGGGAAATTCTTGGTTAAGGACTCACTCTTTTTACATGACCCAATCCTGTTCCATTGAAAAGGACAAGAATTCTTCTATTGACTTCAGTGGGAGCAGGCAACGGCCCATATTCCTCCTAGAGTCCTGTTTTACAACTCTCACCCACATTCAGTAGCACTTACTTGTGTCAACACTCTGTTCCTCGAGGGAACCCTTTGCACCCCAATGTTCATCCTTATAATATGATTGTGTGGTATCCAATGTAAAGTTTGTCACATTGGGTGTCTTCAGAAGGCTAATGATGTACTGAGCATTGTTGTTGTAGTAATGTTATAGGTTGTAATTTCACGTATATAGTTATGAGGCTGAAAATGTGTCCTCATGGCTGTAAGCAAGCCCAGGCAAAACTCTCCAGAAGCAGAGGGACAGTTCACACCTCATCAGGGCATGTATGGGACAAACCCAGCCGAGCCTCACAGGAATAAAGGACACTGGCCTAGGCAACAACAAAGGATCTGTTGGACTCTCGAGTGAGTCATCCCCCCCCTTCCTTTGGTCAGTTTGGGACTGCGATGAGGTAATGCTCACCTGATTCTGATGGGGGAGGGCAAAGCCAAGAGGGAAGAAAGGACATGATAAAAGGGAGATATGTTTGCCATGCTCTTCCTCTCTCTTCCACCTACATCTACAGACATCCCCACCAAGCGACTGAAGTGCTGATCAAAGGGGAAAGCCTGGCTGAAGGGCAACCAGCCAGCCTGTGGTGAGAAGCATCTAAGTTTGTACGGCCGTTGAAAGCGTTAAGGTCAACTTTGAATGCGTTTTGTTTTATTTCATTTGATGAAATCCAACTTTTATGCTCTGCGTTATAATCACTTAAAATCTATCTTTGTAGTTAATAAATCTGTTTATTCTACCTGAAGCAGTGCGTTTGGTTTGAAGTGTGTCAGAGACTCCCCTTGGGATAACGTGCCTGGTACATATCAATTTCCTTGTTAAACTGATGAACTAATATAAGCTTGCAGCGTCCAGCGGGCATAACTGGACACTGCAAGACAGAGCAATTTGCTCTAGCTAAATCCAGACAATTTCACCTTCTGGCCGGGTTCCCAAGTAATCCTTAAAATTCGGGCAGACCCTTGTGGCAGATTTTTTTGGCTTCAGGGCAAATTTGGCCAGAAGGTTAGATTTTTCTAAAATTAAACTTCTACAAAACCTCAGAACAATGTAATGTTTCCATTATTATTATTTGATTCTAATGATAACAGATTTGTTTGTTTTTTAACAAAAAACAAATATTTCTTTACACTGTATGAAGCCCCATATGTTGCAGCATTGTTCTAGTCTGTGAGTACTTGAAAGTAAAACTGACCAATCTATTTATTGTCCAAGCTGGGAAAAATGCAAAAAGTAAACAAACATAAGTCGTTAAAGATGAGATTTAAAAAAACAAAACAACCAACTTTTGCTTTAGAAAAATCAAAGTATAAAGGTAAATCATTTAAATATACAGTTAGATCTTTATCTTGCTCTTTTTCTTGTGTTTAAGGTGTGTGTGTCAAAAACTGACATACTGAATCAGGCTATCACAGGCTGTTTTCATTCTACCACCATCAAGGAGGTGCTATGTTCATAGCCTGAGAAACTGCTAACTCTTACCCCAGCTCTGTGAGTCAAGGCAGTGCTGCCAGTCCCTCACTTTCATGAGCATCTCCCCAAAATCCAGATAAACTTTTAAAAAAGACACAAAAACCTGTTAATAGTTATTGCCTAATCACTTATTTTCCCATATCTAGGCCCTGATTCTGCAAAGATCTATGCACATGTTTAACATTACACACTTCCATGGGACTTTGCCTTCAGTGGGACTACTCCACAGTGTGCAAACTTAAGCATGTACACAGATCTCTGTAGGATTGAGGGGGAGCTCTTTCTTCTCCTCCTCCACAGATGTTCACATAAAACCTTCGTAAGTATATTATATCTCACCCTTCTAAGGAAACTTTTAAACGTCAACACAGGATTCTGTATCAAGAAATGAAAAATTAGGCTACTGAAGTTAAAGAAAATATAATATTAATGAATACACAGTAAGATGATGTGACAAAGGCCAGAAAACTTATTAAAGGAAAAAACACCTTTGTTCTTAAAAACTCAGCTAGTTTAAAAAAACCCATCCAAGAAATCTAGATTAAAGAAATCTAAGGTATATGGATTCGTAAAAGATATTTAGTATTTTGTTTTCTTTCTACAACACTATAAGATTAAATAGCAATTTAAAAGACATGAGTTGCATATGCCACAGATGAACTCTAAGTAGATAGCACAGAGATCACTGTTCTAGTCCCATGTGCTTAAAAAAAAAAAATAAAAAGAGAAGGATGGGGAGTGCAAAATGTTCCTGTATGTATATAATACAACACTGTTATTTTCCAGGGGGGATAAATTGGTCTTTTTAATTCTTTAAGCCTGGCATAGTATCAAAGCAGATATAAAATAGTCACAGAGCTCAATTTAGAAACATCATTTTTCTTATGTTGAGCTTTTATGAAGAGCTTCCTGCAAAGCTGCAAACAATGGTCTGTCCGGCAGCCAGACCACACTGAGGTCACCCTTTCTTGCAAGGCCTTGTTTAAGGAGGCATTTTGCCAAAAGGTAAACAGAGGTCTGCCAAATACATGTGGAATTAAAAGTCCACTGACCCTCAAAGAGGAACCCTATTAGATCCACCACCAGAAACAAAACAACAACAACAAATGCTTGTTTGTTTTATAAATATATAATGGGTGGGTGAGTGTATAAAAAGAAAGAAGGATCAGATATTTGATGCCCTTAACCAAAAATCTTGCTCTTAGTCTACTGAAGCCAATGAAACAACTCCCACTGACTTAAAGAGGTGTGGATAAGTCCCTTTGTGAAACTCACCCAAAAACAAAGCACAAGACACAGACACAACTTGTGCTGGCCCTCTGCACACAATACCAAGGGTTGTTCTTGTTGTTCAGGACTGAGGTAGTTCTCTACACATGTTCATTCTATATCTCCTAGTATTTCTAGAATATTGATCATACAAAATGAATGCAGGGCAGGCTATAGCAGCTGCAAATGGAGTGGACAACAGATAGGATGTCTGGTTCTCCATGGAATAGATAAGTATCTTTCAAAGATCTGAAGCTAGAGTGATTATAAATACATTATTTTTATGATTTACATGAAAAGCCTGGCTCTGGTGCATATGGCTTCTTAAATCTGCTGACTCAGATCTCAATGGCCTGTTTGCGATACATTCTTGGCCTTGTCTCAATAGGAAATGTATGCTAAACATTTTCCTTCATTGCAACCAGTACAGCTTCATTGTTGGGATCACTAGTGTAGACTGGATGCCAGCAACTGCCATTGTCTTAAACACCATGTTGTGTTGACTTGTTCTGAGTATTCAAATTGCTGGATCTCTCTCTACATCAGTACTCCTTCCACTGCATAAAGCCACTTTTCCCCTGGCCATGCCCCTCAGATTCCAAAGGGAGACAGCACAGAATTAGGGCCTTCCTGACCTCTTTGGACATTCCTCACTCTTTTTGCAAACCATGTACTTCACCTAGCTACTAGGAAAGTTGCTTTGGAAATGCTCCTACAAACAGATTAGAGAGAGATTTCTTTTCAAATCCTGCTATAAAGTACAAAAGCCTCCAGGGAATACAATCAGTCCAGAACAAATATTGTCCCTCTGTCACGATGTATTGTGAAGCTGAAAAGAAGTCCTACTTGTTTATGTTTTATGCTATTTGATTTCACATGAAATTTGGAAAGCCTGCTGACATTAAAAGATTTGAGCTTGAATACATTTTATTGTTGTTGTATAAAAGGTTAAAAAAATACCTTTCCCAAAGCATCTCTATCGACCAGCTCCTGCACTGCCAAGAGCTTGATGCTGTAAGAGAGAAACACAAAAAATGAATAATTTAATGGCAAACATTTCCAAAGCACCAGTTATACTAGGACTGAAATCTTGCCCTTATTTTTTTTCTTTCAGAAGGTTTAAAATGCCTGTTGCGTGATGCAGCATGCAGGAGTCTACAATAAATTAAGGACAGGCACTGTTACGTGCTTTGCTTGATCTGATCTAGCTGTCCTACATAGACTTTTTGGTTCCTAAATTAGTAACCATATTCAAATTCGCCCTATAAGAGGAGTCCACTGATCATCTCATTTGCACAGTTTAAAACACTGAAAGATCTTTTGAAAACAAATACTGAAGAAGTATTTAACAGAACGGTCATTTTTCTGTCCAAATGCTTACATCTCTGCAGTTGCAGAGATATATATACACACACATAGTTAATAAAATATGGGGGACGACAAGTTACACACGCCTAAAGAAAACTGCCTGGAAAGGAGTATATGATTTACCCCTTTTCTATTCAAAGCCTTATTCCCTCACCATTACAAAAATCTCTTCTTGGTCCACAAAGGGCTAAATCTTGCTCACCCTATGCCAATGACTTCAATGGGACGATATGTAAAACAACTTGGACTCACCCACAATGACTAGTAACTTAGCTCAACATCAGTCTAGCAGGAAATGGAGCTGGAACAGTGTGTTAAAATCCAGGTCCCTCTGTATTTTCCCACTCCAACCCCCCGCCCTAGGTCGGAACCCCCTCCCGCACCCAAGCTCCCTCCCGTACCCCAACCCCCGGCCCCACCCCAGAGCTCACACCCCAGCCAGAGCTCGCACCCCAGACCCCTGCCCCAACCCAGAGCTCCCTCCTGCACTCCAAACCCCTCAGTCCCAGCCCACACCCCCTCTACCATTCCAACCCCCTGTTCAAGCCCTGAGTCCCTCCTGCACCCCAAACCCCTCATTCTCGGCCCCACCCAAGCCCGCACCCCCAGCCAGAGCCAACACCCCCTCCACAACTCCAACTCCCTGCCCCAGCCTGGAGCCCCCTGCTGCACCCTGAAACCCTCATTTCTGGCCCCACCCCAGAACCTGCACCTCCAGCCAGAGCCCTCACCCTCTCCCACACCCCAACATCTGTCCCAGCCTGGTGAAAATAAGCAAGTGAGTGGGGGTGGGGAAGAGCGAGAGACAGAGGGAGGGGGAATGGAGTGGATGGGGCAGGGCCGGGGCTAGGCAAGGGTGTTTGGTTTTGTGCAATTAGAAAAGTTGGCAACCCAAACGTAGGGGCATTATCCTACCTGTAGCGAAGTAGAAATCTTGGCTACTCCAGGGCCTGTCTACACTAGAGATTTTTCGGAAAAAAAATCGTACGCATAGTACTCTCAGTTCAGCTGCATTTCTAATCAAACTGGTAGGAACTCGGGTGCAGCTAAGGCTCTGTGGTTTCCCGTGTCTTAAAGAACATCTTGTAGAACTGCGTCTTTCCAAGTGAAAAAATGAGCATAACAGTGAGAAATCAGGTATCATTTCCCCCTCCTTTTTTTGCAAGCTTCAAGTCCAAAAACCCATTTTATACCAAACTCACTTCCGAAGGAACCCTAAGTACTGTTTTATACACATTACTTATAAAGCGTGCTGGCCATTTCACATTTTGGACTCGATTCAAACCTGTTTGGGTAGCAGGTGCAAACTTTGCACCCACTATACCAGCAGGATCATTGGAGAAGTCAAAAGCACTGTTTGCCCTTTTTCCTGCTCATGGGGCTTCACCAGTAGACATCGGGTATAACGTACAGTCAAGGCTCCATGGACTGAAGGCTAGCCAGAGTACGGAATAAATCAGTAGCTTCAGCCATGCCACCTAGCAGAAATGTGTGTCTCCTGGCAGAACAAAAACATCCTCCACCACCAGCGTTCTGCATTATGCTGATATTGCCACTCCGATTACCATGCTTCCTTTCCAGTCTTACAGCCAGCCACTGACCAGATTGTCCATGTGACCCTGAGGAAGCTCCACTTTTCCCCAGTATACCCATGTATTTGCATCGCAGCAGGGAATGTTGCTCACAGTCACTGCTGAAATGACTCAGTGATTCTGGACAGCCACAACAGTGTATTTAAGGCGTAAAAACTGATTTACTTCTGAGACCATGCTAGGAACTGATGCACAAGGCTGCCAGAGGAAGCCATTTGCAGTGTACAACAAGAAGTTTTATTGTCCTACAAACCCCTGGAACTATGCTGCATGTTCTTGACTGGCATCTTATTTATTAACTATGTGTGTGTATATATATATATATATATATCTCCAGATATAAAGCATTCCTATAACAGAAGCTCAAATGACAAGCTTAAATCAAGCTCTTTTTACGAGATTTCCATTCCTTCCACTAAGAACTGTCATGTTCTAAACCAGGGGTGGGCAAACTTTTTGGCCCAAGTGCCACATCGGAGTGTGAAACTGTATGGAGGGCCAGGTAGGGAAGGCTGTGCCTCCCCAAGCAGCCTGGCCCTCACCCCTACCCGCCCCCTCCCACTTCCCGCCCCCTGACTGCCCCCCCCTCAGAACCTCTGACCCATCCAACCCTCCCCCCAGCTCCTTTTCCCCTGACTGTCCCCTCCCAGGACCCTCCACCCCTAACCGCCACCTCAGGACCCCACTCCCTATCTAACCCCCATCCCGCTCCCTGACTGCTCCCCCCCAACCTCTGCCCTATCCAACCGCCCCCTGTTCCCCGTCCCCTGACTGCCCCCCAGAACCCCCTTCCCCTTCTCCAACCCCCTGGTCCCGGCCCCTTTACCATGCCGCTCAGAGCAGCATGTTTGGGAGCTGCGCTGCCAGGCTGGAGCCAGAGATGCTGCCACGTTGCCCTGCATGAGCGTTGCCCGTGTGGTGGCGTGGTTGCGGGGGAGGGGGGACAGCAGGGGAGGGGCCGGGGGACAAGCCTCTCCAGTCAGGAGCTCGGGGGCCAGATGCGGCTCGTGGGCTGTTGTTTGCCCACCTCTGTTCTAAATCCTAAATATAACTGTGCCCTCACTTTCATGTATTTCAAGCTTTCATACCTCTCCAAATTTCATAATGACCAGGTACATTGAAGTATAAAACAGTTCCAGGCAATGCTTTTTAGGTCTGCCAGGTCTATTGCTATCAGTACAGACAGGGCTAGCATCCTGATAAAGACAGTTCACACATTAACATGCTTCTATCAAAGGAGTACATCAGAGAAAATGTATAGCTCTAATGCACTGCTGCTGTAAGAGTAGGAGAAATCTGGATATCTGCTATGATTTACTGAGTATTCTGTACAATAATATTCTAGTAGAACAGACAGAGGTACTTAAGGAAAATACAATGCTGAAATTAGAGAACCTTTCCATCTACTTATCAGAAAGCTCGTAGTTGAGCAAATAAGCATTGAGCAAAGAAAAAATTCAAGAAAAAATACTTTTAAACCAGTGCAGTCCCACTGCCTCTTGTTTTTCTTATTTTTTGTTCCTAATTCTATTTATTTATTTATTTATTTAATTTTTAAATTGTGCTTGTGAATTGCAAGGTTGTGAAAGAAGTTAGTACTGACATCCTGGCTCTTTATTTATTCACAGAACAAGTACAACACGGGCAATGGCAGGACAACCCTCCCCACCCAGCACCATGAATACATCTTAATATTGGAGAAGCCACCTCTCTGGACAGGCAGTGTGAACTCCGTATCCACTGAACTCTTGGCCTCTCAGAGATGACTGTCATCCAGGGCAATAATTAGACAGTGATTTTTCTCCAGTGATGTGTACATTCATCACTGGGTGATGGATTGAGACCCATCAACTTGCATCTAGGCCTCTAGGCAGTTGTCATAGTACAGTAATAACTGTGTCACAATATATCTGTTCTGGATTTGAACTCCATGCTTAGTGGCTAGTTAAAGGTTCCCTATCCAGTTACCCACCCTGCACCATTGAGCGACCAAACACTAACATTCTAAGCTTGCACAGGAAGAACATGAGACAGTTCATATGGAGAAATGCCTGTACATAAGTTCATTAGAAGTTCAGTGTGATCAGGAAGACAAACAAAGTGGTTCAGTAAAAAGATCAGACTCAGATCCATGCTGCAGATAATGCAAACTGGGATTTTGCCTTTCCCTGGTTTATACTGCAGCACAAGATACTTAATATGTAAATTACTTTCATTATTTCTCTAGCGGCTTGTAACCTTCATAAAGCATTTAATTTCTGATCAGTGGCAACACGAATACTTAAGATGGCTGCTGATTCTACCTATTGACAGGTTCGTTTGTAAAAACGCTATTTGTAGAGTTCAGTAGATAATTTGACCTTCCATGGCTAGAAGTGAGAGATGATGAGCCTAACTATCATTACAACTGCCACTCTCATTACTGGTCCCTCTGTTATTGCAAACTCTCCTACAGCGCTATTCTCGTTCCTTGCTATACTAAAGCCCATTAGAATTCCTCCCACCTGCCATGTGTTCTTATTTAAAACGGAATGTACTCAGTTAGACCAAAAAAGTGTTTACATGACGAGAGGGATCAGTTTCCTTCATCCAACTGATTTACAGGGCTGCAATCGTCCTATTCAGCAGCCCAGGACCAACATGAAGCATCTTTATTATAGAATTAAAATAGACCACAGTTTTCTAGTCTTTTCCACAGCACCTCACTGTTTTCCACTAAGGCTACGTCTACACTGCAATAAAAGACCCGCACTATGGCTGCGGCTCACCCAGGTCAGCTGACTCGAGCTCGGACTGTGGGGCTAAAAATTGAAGTGTAGATGTAAGCTCTGAGACCCCAAGGTGGGGTGGGTCTCAGAACCCAGACTCCAACCCACGCTTGAACATCTACACTGCAATTTTTGGCCCCACAGCCCAAGCTAGAGTCAAACGACCTAGGCTCTGAGACTCAGTGCTGAGGGTTTTTTATTGTAGTGTAATTGTATCCTAATATTGTCTCACTGTGTGGGCTACAATCCATTAGCTGGGAAGTTCTTTAATAAGCCATTTCCTT